TTTCACAGAAGAACTGTCCCACAGCATTGCCCTGGCAGAGGGGCACTGAAAATGTATTGGCCGTGTGCAGGAGAGCAGTGAGAAACCCACTGGCCCAGGCAGCTGCTGCCATGTGGGCACAAGCTCTGGTGTCCAGGAGGGTCCCGTAGTGCAGGGGTTGGCAGATGGCTAAGTAGCGGTCATAGGCCATGATGGTGAGAAGAAAATACTCCGCTCCAATCCAGAAGAGAAAGAAAAAGAGTTGAACAACACATCCCAGGTAGGAGATGCTCCTGTTGTCCCAGAGGGCATTGGTCATGTCTTTGGGGACAGTGGTGGAGATGGAGCCCAGGTCCAGAACTGGGAGGTTGAGGAGGAAGAAGTACATGGGGGTGTGGAGATGGTGGTCGCAGGCGATGGTGGTGAAGATGAGGCCGTTGCCCAGGAGGGCAGCCAGGTAGATGGCCAGGAAGAGGCAGAAGTGCAAGAGCTGCAGCTGCCGCGTGTCTGCGAATGGCAGGAGGAGGAACTGGCTGATGGAGCTGCTGTTGGACATTTGTTTCCTCTGGCCATGTACCACTTCCTTTGGAGAAAAAGTCACTGACAAATTAACAGACATTTCTCTGAGAAAAATCAAAGCCGTTTCCCACAGACTCTATCCCTCTCACACAGACACCCCCTGCATTTTTCAGGAGACCTTCCTTCAGCTCCATAGCTGAGGTCTTGCTTGATGTTGGCCCTAAGTGTGAATAGGAGCAGGGCTCTGCCCGGGGGCTCTTGGTCACTCAGCCCTGCTCTTCAGCCCTCCATAGGCTAGATTAGAATAAAATCAACAGGGACTCACATGGCCATATCAGGATCAAATATAATTTCTTTAGGCAACAGATACACAGATTTATTTTGTTTTCCAGTGATAGTGATTGACTGCAAACACGTGCAAAATTACAGATGAAACAGATTATGAGCAATTCTAGAAATGTTTCCTAAGTATCCTGGGGCAGCACTTGGTGAGACTAAGTGTTTGTACCTTGCAAGCTCAGTGAAGGATGGTTGCACCTTGGAGGTGGGTAGCTTTTTGGATGGAGGTGTGTTTTGGAATGAAAATGAGATTATTATGAGCATAGCTCACCGAAAGGATGGCATCTATCAAAAGATGTCAGACTCTTGGCACAGGATAGCAAATGCGTGAACAACTGGCTCCCTGACGTCTCCAAATTAATTTGTCTTCACAGAGCTTGACCACAGTGTTTCCACAACGTTCCATGCTCTGTGGGATTTTCTCTTAGGGACAGAACAAACAAACTTCCTTGATGTTGCCAACCCATAAGTTTCTTTTTGAAATTCTATCAAAAGATGTCAGACTCTTGGCACAGGATAGCAAATGCGTGAACAACTGGCTCCCTGACGTCTCCAAATTAATTTGTCTTCACAGAGCTTGACCACAGTGTTTCCACAACGTTCCATGCTCTGTGGGATTTTCTCTTAGGGACAGAACAAACAAACTTCCTTGATGTTGCCAACCCATAAGTTTCTTTTTGAAATCTTTGTGGGGAGAGCTTCATATACACCAGCTGCACGTTGTCCTGGAAACTCTCTCGATGTTCCGATAGGTGAACAATGTTATGTAGGCAATTACGTAATTTTATATATTTACCTCACATCAAATGCTGTGAGAATGGTTAGTCCTTGAGTCCTAAGCACTCTGGCAATGTTTTAACCAAGATGATTGCCTTGCAGTTAGAACTAAATTTTAGGCAAAAGTGCCATAATCCCACAAAGCACAGCAATGGTTCATATCAAAGCTCGATGGAAACTCAAAAGGCAATTGAAGGGCACCAATATGAACTGTTGCTACTTCAGGAAGAATTACAGATGAAGCATTGCTATTACAGGACCAATGTTAAATTCCCTAAGAGTAGGTGCAGACAGATCTGAGATAGCCCATGTCCTCGGTGCCTCAGCTTTCACCAGCAAGGTCTCGGAGGCGGGCCCAGGGATGGGAAAGAGGAGCAACCAGGGAAGAAGGGGGATCGAGCCAGCGATTCCTTGAGCAAACTATGCCCATAGAGTCCATGGGACCAGAGGACATGAATCCAAATGTGCGGAGAGAATTATTTCACCAGAAGGTGGTGGGCTGATATAATACCAGTAAGAAAGTCACTTGGACTATGTGAGGTTTCTTTTGAAATGTAGTTCCTCAGCTTTAAAACCATAATGGGAGAATAGCCTTGTGATCTACTGCCAAGATGACTGAACTC